ACACACACACACACACACACACACACACACACACACACACACACACACACACACACACACACACACACACACACACACACACACACACACACACACACACATAGACAGACAGACACATACACATACACGTACACATACATATATACACACACACGTGCATACACTGATACGTCAATACGAACAGAAAGAGCAAGCATACATTTTGCATTGAACATTTGAAGATTTCCTAATGCAAATGAAAGAATGAAACATTGATAAGCATTACTTGTATGATATGAAGTATGTATTAATGAATTAATTTCATACTATTACATCATTAAATAACAACCATAAATTATTGATTGTTAAATTAAATTTGAAAAGTGAATCAATTCAATATCATACAAATCAAAGTTATACTTCGATGTCATCAATAATTGTATTGGTAACGTAAAAGTCACAGATAAAGGCTTACTTCCATTCTATCTTATTCCATTTCACTTCACCCTATGCTCAAAAGGAACAGAAGGACAAAAATAAGTGAAAAATCGATGGGAATTTCCAAATGTCAATCAATTTCTGATGAGTTCAGGAAGGGAGTAGTATGGGTGTACCGAAAAACTGCTGAAATGCTGCAAGAAAGACAATGACGCTGATGATGATAACGAAAGTGAGGTGCTTGGTCGCACCGTTACACTTATCAATCAGCCTGTTCTTTATCAGTAAGCTAAATCTTTCTCACGCACACCCATCATGCTTATGTATGTATATATGTGTAGAAAATCGGCTTTCGCATTTCGCTTTCCAAAATCACCATTTTTCGAGATCAACAATTCTTACGTGTTTCGCATAACATATTCACATCTTTCTACAACTACCAACAAGATAAGAAATATAAAATCTAACAAGATGAAATGAATTTTGAAATTACCAATTGAATTGATCCTCCTTTTCCCGATTTCAATTTTCTTTTCATAATATTTTCATTTAAATACAAAATCTATCAATGTCTACTGCGGCATTATGGGTAGGAGTGATAGCTTTCGGTTCTTTTGAACTTCCTCGTCCAATCTTGTCAGGTTATTCGTCTTCTTGCTTACTAATCAGTTAAGTTTATTGACTTGACTGTTAATTGTGACTATACGTATCTAGTCGCTTACCTCAAAAGATTCGCCGGTCTTACTCATTTGCTTGTACTTATCTTTATCAGCATTACTACCGTTTGACAAAGTTGCTTGCTTTTTGTATTCAGTACAATCTAAGGTCGATTATTTCTTGTGGTACCAAAGACAAAATCATATCAATTTTGCTTCAAATCTCTTGAATTCATTTTAAATCGATTTACCCCTAAGCTCGTCACAACAACCTACAAATACAAGCAACCCTCATCAAAGCCTAGTGAATTCGACTTTGAGGAGACATTTAATTAATTGTAAGCATTTTCCATCAATTGCACGATAATATAATTAAAACAAAAGACACCAACAAGCAGTAAGCAGCTCTTATCTTCATATCTTACCTCTTACCTTCATATTGATATCTTGAATTCTTTTGTAAAATGGAACAGATTTGTTACGATTCATCAGATCTCATGACTTGCTTGTGTACTTCATACGCCTACTATTCATACATGGAATATCGATTACGAATCGATTAGGTAACATATGGCAATATTCGCCATTTCGTCTCATTTGCCTTCAGTAGAGGGAGGACCTATGTCTATTGGTCACGATAATAGGAGAAATATTGACTAATTTCCCTCGAACAACATAAAGTAGGAAAATTGCTACTGGAACGGTATTCAATCTCATCTCATCCCATTTTTATGAAATTCAGCTTTCCACTTGTAGATTATCTGCTGTGGATACCTGCATTGCCGTCATTTATGTGTTTATTTGTTATTGAGAGCTATCAATTTGACGTCGACCCTGGACCGTTGCACAAACTATTATTTCTCACATCTCATACCCGCATAGTAAGGCAAATATCCCAAAAAGATCGCGAAGTATGTCAGGGAGGTAAGTGGCTAAATGCTGTAAGCAGATCAATTCCACTGAATTCGAACCAGTCCCATAATCCCATCACCAGTAAATGAGTGCCTTAAGTACTATGGAATAATACCGTAATAGAATGATTAGGCCAGGCCCAGTAACCCATTCTCTCTCCATCATCTGTCTCAATAAACTATTCCAGTGTCCATGGAGTGACGGGTAACATTCGAGTATCTTCGAGCCGAAATATTTCACCTCGGCACCAAAAACAGACCCTGGAGGATATGCAAAACGGCTGTGGACCAATGCTTGGAGAATGACACAGCCGCATGTACCTCAGGAACCTCTCTCTACTACCTTCTCCTTTCTACGTAGCCATCCAATCAAGGTAATTGCAAAAAATCCACCAAAAAAACCGCTCTACTGGCATAATGCCCGACCATTTCCATTGGTGCAAGCGCTATTTATATCTATGTCAATCGCATGGACCACGTATTTCGGTAAATCTAAAGGGACATCACACACATCTCATACATAACATTAGGCAGATTGATAACAACAATGGAAACCATCGGGAATAAACTGCATGGCGGAACTTAAAGTTGAACATTTCCTTGAACCTTGGCTTTGCTAACACTTCATTCTAAAATAGCTGAATCCCTAATTACATCTGATGTATGACTGGAACACCCGTTCATTAATTTAACGTTTTTATAGTATGCATACCATTAGTGGATCTTCCTGAATTACCTGAGACTCTCGCAACTCAGCAATGATTATCCACTTTGTGTAATCTTCCAAAAGCTTGAATGATTGCGCCTATGGGATTGATGACATAATCTTGCGGTCGCATTTTATGCTAAGAAGCCAACTTTAAATCGAAGGGCAAATATCGCAACCCAGAATCTTAACTTCTTCAGTTATTACTAATTTCTTCACTATATCGAACCGTTTTTCAAGAATTTCCCATACTATCTCCAATGGAATTGTTTCAGACAAGCAGTAAAAACTGTTCCTGTGCAATAAGCACCAATTGATAATATAAAATTTGATTCCACATTAATACATTTCTCTTTACAAGTCTGTCGCATGAGCCGTACTGGATGCAACTTAATGCGGAAGTTTCATTGGGCACATTTTTTGCAAATCGAATGGTTCAGATTGTTAGCCTAGTTCACTTACCACATATAATTGGCCTACAAGGAATTCACTAATAATTGTTCCATAAATCTCTAGTCATTTAAATAGAAAACTTTAGAATGGTCAGTGAATGGACAAATATGAATGTTGCTATCGTTCTCACAAATGAACCATCTGCAAGTTATTCATTACCTAACGGTTTTCCATGTACATGTAATTATGTGGCATCAATCATTAGCCTCTCAAATGTGTTGGGTTTGTCTGATATAAAAGGGAATTCACAATGCAAGCCTGTCAAAATTGATGTTATCTCTTAGAAAGAATGCAGCTTTGAAGTTAATTAGCATTTAGGAAATTTCATTGGAATTAAAAATGTTTTCAAATAAAAGTCCAATTTCTGTCTTTTCACAACTTTGAGAGAAAAAAAGTTGTAAAATTCGTTTTTTTGTGTTTCATTTTATTATCTCCAAAAAAAAAAAAAAGTGTTATTTTTTGTCGAAAAATGAAAGCCGGAAACATGAAAATAAGTAGTTTTAGGAGGGTGGACGATATGATAAGAGCGCATTTGAAAGCGTTCCATTGCCGAAGGGCTTATAAGGAGGTGGAAAAGACACGGGTTATCTGTACCGAGAATACTTTGTAAAATTGTTTTTTGTATCTCTGGGAAACTAACAATGGTTCTCCCCAAAACTACAAAAAATAAATTGTCAAATAAAATGATAGGAATGGAGCACAAACGGATACATTATCGCGCACACACACACGCACACGCACACACACACACACACACACACACACACACACACACACACACATACATACATATATACATACATACATACATACGCACACACATGACATGAAATTGGCCTTAAGGTGATAAATTTAATCGCCAATTAATGTGCCCAATCAACCTTCCATGGAAAAGCGATGGAAAAAGTGAGGATTTCATTGTAGAGTGCCAGGGCAATTATTTTGAGAATGAACTTTCAACAAATATTTTAACCTGTTCATACCATCAGAGCGGTCAATCACGCCAATCATTTCCCAGCTTAATTAAAGTTATCAAGTTCTAAAATTCATACTGCACGAAATTATTTTATTAAACCAATGCCATTTGAAGCTGGTCAAAATATCTGCAAACTTTTAGCGATTTTAATGGGACATAAGTTGGGTTTGTGCTGTTGGTCAAGGTATGTCAGGGTATTTACTTACAAAGTGAACCAAAAAGTTCATATAAATTTTTCCTTTTTACTTTAAATCATTACAGACCAAAGAGTAAAAATTCTCGGATCCTCAAAATAAAGGTAATGAAAATTTGTCCATCTCAACCAAAATTTATTCAAACAGCCATGAATTAGTAATTACAATTTTTATGGTGTTTTGAAAGGAGTAAATTCAAATTAAAAAAAAAGTGCCAGAACACAAATTCAATCAAGGGATCTTTCAAATAAATTTTTTCGTAACCAAAAATTAACTAAAAGGGAAAAATAAATTGTGTTACAAAATGGTCACCTTCAACTCTCCAAACAAAAACTCTGCGAACCTTTCTGCGAGGTCATGCACCATTGACCGATAACTAATAAATGATTTGATGTAACTCTCTGATAGCACTCCAATCAATAATATATATCTTGTCCTGCTTGCAGTGATGATTAATCAGGTTACAAATAAGCTTCATCATATCGCTACTGTACAAATACATATCCATTTAGTTCTACAAAATCCATTGTTACCCATCATGCAATGGATGGATAGATCGTCTTCTATCGTCCTAATAGATGCTAATATATGTCAAGACAATATCAGCAATAAAAATATGGAGGGCGCATTTGCAATCTGTATTCTGATGATGAAAAATGAAACGACAGATCTACGGACTTTAAGACTCAAGTGATTCAATGAAAAAGTCTTATCACTGGGATAGATCAAGTGATAAGAGTTTTGAATGAAACAGTTGATAGCGGAAGGGAAGGGAAGGGAAGGGTTATTTCAAAACTCTAACAACGCTGCAGATCCTTCTGCCTTACAGCATACATACGGTTAGCTCACTAAACAGCAAATGTTTTCCTAGACTATAGCATCAACCACAATGCCAACATTCCAGCATTATCACAGTCATAACAACACACTGAAAAGTCTCGAACTTTCCTGTCAAAGTGTCCAATCACATTACAATTACCAAATACTAATAGCTGTAATTATTAACAAATAACAGTTGGTAAATAATGTGAATAAACAATAGAAGGAATAATGCCAATAAATGACACTATTGCTGAACAGTCGTTGATATGGCTAAACTCACACATATCATTGCGTTAACCAACTTGTTCGTAACTTAGTGCGTCAACCGGACCACCTATAATCCAGTTCATTACGCCAAAATGTTTCACAGTTATGTGTCATTTCTCATAGCGACTGACCTGAAAGCTGATCTGTACTTAGATTTGGCTTATCTTCTACAGGCAATTAGTTTCCAAACAGTTAACTTAACTGCTCTGCTATCGTTTCTGATTATCCAAATTTGTTGGACGGTAGAGACATTATCCTTATGCTCCGATGAAGGTTGATACCAAAAATGGCATCAAGTCAATGAGGGACTTCTATGCATAGAAGTGCAGCAAGAAAGCAAATGCAAATCGTTACACTGGATCACCGTAAATTCCCCGTAAAGTGCGTGAGAATCTTAAATAAGCTTGTCAGCATTCATTCATTTCAACGTGTGTTACAAAGTCCTATTTTCCGCTGCAAGTGCGTGAGAGCTTCAGACAAGTCACGCAATGACATTTCTTTTTTCACTCAGAATCTGTGGGGTGATGCATATCTGCTGTAAGATAGTTGAGTAATAAATCGCTGAGACATGAGGAATTTCTCTCACTGTCAGTAAACGAAAAGGAATTAATTCGCTTACATTTGCGTTACATTAAGAACACTATGGAAAATTTAAATTTAATATAGGATGAAGAATTAAATCCAAGTCTTCTTAAGGGACCAAAAGATTTGTAGTCTACTTTTTGGCTTCCTCGTTTCACGGTCCAAGCCTTAACCAAACTTTTGGTCTTCTTAGGTGAGATCTTTTCAAATTAATTGAGAATAAGATCATTGGAAAATTTGTCAACATTCAAGACTGATATTGCAAAAGTATTTTTTTGATGCGATAAAAGCGTTCGTAAGAATACTGGAAGTATGCGAGGGAACTTGGAATATTCGTACGTTATGCGTTATTTTGCTACTTCCTTTCCCAAAAATTAATTAGCCCAGCCTTGCAATAATTTGGTAAGCCCGCATTTCCACATTTATGATCGATCTACAATTTGAAAAAAAAACACTGCCTGTCATTTTTTTTACCGCATATGAGAAAATAGCGAATAAAGCAGACCCCTGCGAAGTGTCAAGCAGACGATGACATCGACCCATCAATCAATACTTGCTTTTCATATTTCATTTGTGTCCACAGTTGATGATCGGTTTTGATTCGAACAAGCTAAGGTTTTAGGAAGTCTTTAATATTAAACTGATCTCTACTAACGATCACTTTTCACATTTACTACGATGGCTTACTTTGAATTCACATATATTACCTACATCCTGAGTGTAATTAATAACATGCAAATTTCGCCACGAACTTTTTTCTCCCATCGAAAAAAAGAACAATTGTTTGTGTCAATTAAAGTATTTAGATTAGATTAAAATTGTAAAGTTCTTTTCAGTTGAGGAGAAATGTAAAGATTATTATAGTTAACCAAACTGTCTTCGCCTTTAAATTTCATGAAATTTGAAATTTTTTACAACCTAAGATTGCAATGCTGCCAACAGCTCATAGTAACATGTTCGATAGAACTAATATTTGAGGAAAAAGTGAAGACCAGGGCACAAAAAGAGCAGGTGGCTGATGACCTTGAAAACTAGCTCTTCTACAGCTGTCACAATAACATTTAATTCAGTATATTTTTAAAATCATTAAATTTCAGCATCTTTCAGGTCTTTATTATACCTAACACACAAACAATTCCTTGAGGATTTTCAATTTAAAATTTGATGTAAATACCTTATCTGAAGGCACTGTTATATCCTTTATATTGTAATGTTACATATTTCCAAAATAAAATGCAACGCGAAAAAAAAAGTATTTAGCTGAGTGCTATACGTCCATGTAACACGGACGTGTAATTTTGCAATACTTATAAAAGAACTTGCTGTTATAATTTGTTTGTCACCAAAGCTATTGCAAAACATATCGGCGACACTTGACATTAAATATAATAAAAACCACCCCCTACAATTGAATCTAGGTCTGTAACTACGGTCCCTAAAGTAAAACATGGACAGAGTGAAGGAAGTACAGAAGTTCCAAAAATAGTTTTCCATTGTAAATTGTACGTCTTATCAAAGAAAAAAAATCTAAAGTTAAGCTGAATATCTAAGCACACATCATTGGGGCGTCATAAAGTTCCAAGTGGATCGGCCTATTCCAAACTTTTTGGTTGTAATTACCTCACAGAAGAAGTTGACCCAATAAACTGAACTTATGTGCGGCCAATGCCAAATAGTTTTAAAGAAGTCAAGAAGACCATGAGATACTGGAAGGTTGGAGCTCCGGGTTGTTTTCTAATAAAAATGTCATGCAACTAATCCTTACAGTAAAGATTTTACTCCGGTAGTACAGTACTTAACCCTTTTTAATAGGGTTATCATCCTCTTAGACTACACACATTCCTTCATCTCATCTCATCTCTACGAGGAATTTGACCCAACCAATTTTTCTAGATTTTGAACCCGATTTTCCCACATATGTTGACATTCGTCATAAATTGCGTCCCTTACATGAATGCTTCAAGAATTTGAGTAACGGGTTATTTTTTAAGCCCATATTTTGAAACGAGGGATGACTGTCATGGATTATGGCTACCTGTTTCAATAGGACCTTGCCATTTCCATCTTCATTGAGGAAAAGAGCCTGAATCATGAAAATTCTTCATACTTACGCTTGCTTTGTTTTTCCTCAACTTTGCGTAAAAGCAACAGGAGTTACCGGAACATGATAGTATGAGTATATGGGTGATATTTTCCAATATCGATTTAAAACTTTTAAAACCTGTTACGAAAGAATATTTCTTTTTCAGCTCTTCTTGTTAGATAATTTTTTCTAACAAGATATTTACACCATTCCTGAACGACTTTTCTCACAAAAAAACACGATTATTTCATAACTTTATGATTTAATAGGTAGTAAATTGTTCCAAACAAATGGAGTTGAACCGATTGGCCTACTAGATACCACATAGTAGTACATTTATACCGACACATGCAAGATCCATTTAATGTTATTTTAAAAAAGCGCTTACCACAAGTACATACTTCTCCAATTCAAACATGGAATTAAGAATGTTTATAATCTAATCGAATCTGAAACAGTACTACTAAGGAACAAAAATTTGCTCTAACAGGACTGATTTACAAGTGTGAGTGGCCAGAAATTTAGAAAATAGAAGCTGCTGACATCGACCATTACATATATTGAAGTTTATAGAATTAACATCATTCGATACTACAGAGCTGTCAAAAGTTATAAATGTGGACAATAGCTGGTGTAACAAATGATTGTAAGAAGCCAATCATCTTATGACAGAAATGATCAAATTGCATGTTTTGGAATAAAAAAGAACAACGAATTGTTGTTATACGATATCTTCCCCTAAAATTGTTGATCCTTTTTTTCTTTTTAAATCATTAAAATAACATCTTTAAAACTAATTATTCTCTCCAGAAGTCAGATTGTGTAATGAATACACAATTGCTGAATTACAGAACGATTATTACATCATTTGAGACTAACCTAATTTGGCAAGTTATGAACCATTAATTGAACACTGACCTGAGGGTTCAAATTGTTCATGTGAACCTCATGGCATAGTTAACACTCATACAACAGTTCGCATTGGTGATTTTAATGAAAGGTGACAGCGGAAGGTTAATTTTGATCTACCTTTTAGCAATCGACTGACTTCACTAACCTATGGTGAATCAGTCCCCAGATAGAGTCGTTTAGCTTACATGCAATGTTGCTTAGTGGAAGCAATACATTATTATATTATATTATTTATTAACACTTTAATCTTAACAAACTGATATAGAAGGGCTAGCAAAAGTGCTGTAAAATCCCGCGAAGAAACTTCGTGTCATCCTAAAATGCTTATTACCGAAATGGGTAATACTAAACTTGAAGATCCTCAGAATTTGACTGCAATCTGACTTTTAAAGCAAACTCCTGCAAATTCAATGGACAAAACAGGAAACGAAATATTTGTTTCTTCATCTCCCCTGTCCGTCATTTATCGGTTGGGACATTTAACCTTATAAGTGACAGAAATGGTAGATGAGCGTAGTACCGCCAAATACAATCTAAGTTAATCGAGACCTACGTCAGAGATGGTCTCCTCGGTTACATCTTAACAATATTTTAACCTCTAAGCTTACTACTTTCGCGAAAATTATCTAACAAACATATCACGGCAATTTTCATACTGCAAATAGGCATTTAGTTCACACTGTTCGGCGGGAAACAAAAATCTTTAGGGAAGATACGAAATTTGTTTACTAATAAAAAACCGACAACGGGTCAAGGAGGTCAAATTCAACGAAGTGAATAGGACAAGGAACAAAACAAGAAATGGGTACGTGCTG